ATATCCACGTTCGTTCGTTTCGAGAGAATGAAGAATAAGCGTCGACGGACCGGCGCCCGCCGGACAAAGAAGACGGGTGAGGGATTTTATTCCCTGACAAAAGTCCCGGACATTAGTAGTCTACCGACAGACGTGCGATTGGAAATTGAAAAGTCCTTTACTCCTAATCCGAAATTGAAGACTCAGCTAAATAACCTTCTTCTGAGAAAGGCGATCGTACAATACTGTAAGCCGCGTCAGTACGACATATCGCAGTACCCGACAAACGTTCTGGCCAAACGCTACAAGTTTAGAGAGATACCCCGCGACGTCCGCGAACACTTTGAAAAGGGAGTCGCCACCCACAACTCTGTCACCAAGCACCCGCTTTCGACAACGTTTCGCGAAAACGCCATCGCCGTCAAGGTCTCTTCTTACGTGAACAAACTCAAGAACAAAGAGCGTCTTCCGACGCGCGTTCCATAAAATGTCGAGGCTCTGTTGAGAGGCATGGCTTTTAACGAGTAAATAAAAATGGTCAAATGTTCCAAGTGCGGTTTCTCGAAACGAACCGCCAGAACAAAGTGTTCGAGATGCAACAGGAACGGTCGTAGACTCGATACGAGAAAGCCGTATCGCCTCGAACATTTCACCAAGGAAGATCAAAGGCGCATTCTCGGCTCCATGCGGGTTAAACGAGGACAGAGTCCAACCTACCTGAAACTTTTATTGGGGAAACTAATTCAGGCCTTTGCTCGCAAACACCGACTGCCGGCGTCATGTCCGATCAATCGAGCCAGGCACGCGCTGATAACTCACGCGATCCTCGACAAGATTCGACCATCGAGTCAAAGAACGAGGAGGAGTCGTAGCAAGAGCGTCGCGCGGCGGAGGACTAGGAGCAGGAGCGGAAGCGTCGCGCGGCGGAGGAGTGGGAGTAGGAGCGTTCTCTCCTCGGGTCGAAGAAGAGGAAGGAAGAGGAGTCGCAGCGTCGGCAACAGGAGGAGCCGTAGCATTTCCATCAACCGAGGCCGACTCGGTCGCAGCGTCAGTGTCGGTAGGCGAACAATGTCCAGAAACGCCAGCAGCGACTCCAAGTACATGTATCCCGTGTAATAAAAAAATGTATCAAGTGCGCGTGGATTATTCTTTCGACCAACTCCCGCCGAGCCTGCTCAGGTTTCTCACGAGCGCTCACGAGGGGTTGCGGTCGGACAAGAACCGTCTCATAAAGCGTGCCAACGACGTGATCAGAGACTTTCAGGTCTTTAAGATGCACAAGCGCAGCGCCCCAATTTTCGTCAATCAATTTCCAGTTCACGTGTTGAATGACATGCACTCGATAGTGCCCGTGCGTAACAAGAAGGGCGACGTCATGTGCGGAAGGGAGTACGCCGAAACGGCCAAGGCTATTCGATCTAACTCGTTCTATCCCGTGTTTAAAGCGAGAAGCGACGGCGCAGCCCTGTTGGAAACCAAAGTCGGTAGGACCACCGGAGATAATCATTCGCCCTACGTTTCGGGAGTCTTGGTGAACGTAAACATTGACAAGATATCTAGCAAGTTTCACGACGTGGTCACCAGCCGCTCGATCAAGGTGGGGCAGTGGATTGACGTGATTCGCGACCCACCGCCGTCCTTTCTGGAAACCATAGTCGTGGCCTACGAGATGGTCGAGCTAGGCGAGTTGTATAGGACAATAAACGGCGACTTTACAAACTTGCCCACGCACGACACGTATTATTCCGACAACATCGTGCACCGAGAGTCTGGTGCAAAGTTTCGTCCAAACGCGCGCGACAACGTGCGAAAGGAATTCAAGTATCGCGTTTCCAATCGCCCCAACTACAGGATCGTGGACGACTGGGAAAAGAGACCGCTGGGTCCGTCCACGGATAGCTTCTTCCATTCGACCGGCGGAGGCCGCTACAAATCGACTCTGCGTACCAGACGGACGGTGTACGAGACAAATAATAATAATAATAATGAGCCCAAGTTTCACGGAAATTCGGACGACGACTACGCTGAGCGCAACGTGGATAGCGACGACGACGCTGAAGACGGTGACGACGGTGACGACGACGTCAGTGACGAGATCAGGCGCTACAAGTACAAGAGATACTACACCGAAAGCGATCACATTATGCGAGCTTTGCGCAACATCTAGTACGTGTCTTTTTTGAAATAAACAATCATTCGAGAGGCTTTATTTTTCTACATACACAAAACGTACGTATATATACGCGCGCCTGCCGAAGCGCGTCGACAAACGTAGAACATGACCGGAGTAGCATCCAGCGTGTCCAAAGTGTTTCGCGAGGCCACCAAGTTTGATCAATCGCGAACCTTCGACTGGAGCAGAGTAGTGGCCAACGTTTATTCGGAAGACTCAAATGAGGAAGAGTTTGAACGAAAGAGGGTCGTCCTGTTCTCCGAAATTTGTAAACTTTCTCATGTGTCCGCGAACGCTCTGACCGTTTTGGACCTTGTCGACTATCCGACCTTGGAGGACGCACAATTGTTGTACATTGTTTGTACGTATACGCACCTCAAGACCATACTCCTGAGGAACGCCCCCCTATTGTCAAACTCTGCTCTACAATACTTGGCGACCTACGCTCAATCTCTCGAACATCTTCAAATCAGCAACAACGGTGGCCGTATCAGGAACGAGGGATTGATTCATCTGGCTCCTTTGCGTCGACTCAAGAGTTTGTGTCTGACTGGAATAAGAAACGCCAGTCGAGCTGTCCTTCGAGTGATATTGCAGAACAACGAATCTATATACGCTATCTTGGTGATAACGACGGAACTCTTCGCCTCTAAAGATAACGTGACGCACTTTGTCTTTTGCGCTTCGAATCAGTTGAGTCAGGAAATGTACGATTTTGTTTTTTGTAGCGAAACGTTATCTCCGTTTTCAGATAGCGAGTGAGGGTATATATATATATATGTACTCGCACGTACTACGCTTACAGCAAAGCTAACCCTACCCTCTCCCCCGACGTCACGACACGACACGACTACTACCCTATAACCCAAAGCGACAATGGCTCGACTAGACAGGTACCCATCCCTCCCGCTGGCCGACACCTGCGTACAAGTGTTCGCTCAGTCCAGAGTGTCAAACGTGGTGGATTGGAAAACAGTGGTGCTTAGTATATACCACGAAGAAGAGGGCTACGCTTGGGACAACGTGGAAGGGCAAATTCACTGTGCGTATACCGAAATTTCAATATTAAGAAGCTTTCCTACGCACATCACATTCTTGGAGTTGGTGCACTATCCAATGCTGCGAGACCGCCACGTCAGTGATTTGGTTCGTTTCTACCCGAACATCAAGACTTTGCTCCTACGTCACGCACCCGGCTTGACCAACGACTCTGTAAAGTGCTTAGCGGACGGTCTACCTAATTTGACTCACTTGCAGATGGGATCGTGCTATCACCTAGACGACGAAGCCTTGATGTATCTCGCAGAAAAGAGGATCATCGACGTTGGCATACGGAGCCTCTGCATGACCGGACTCGGATTTATACGCCGAGAAACGCTTCACCAATTTCTCAACGTGCATCGAAGACTGACGGCCATCCTACTCACCGCTAGAGACGTCCCCAACAAGGACGTCTACCTTGGTGAATACACTTTGTGTATTTCTAGCACAGCGTCTCCGTCACTAAGAAACATTGCGCCAACCGACCTAGACGTTATCGAAGGTGTGGACGGTGTTGTGGGTGACATCGAGTACCAAGACCTCGACAGTGACGACGGTGACGGTGACGACGGCTACAGTGACGACTACGACAGTGACGCCGACGAATATCTCGAATCGGACGACGACAGAATGCTGGGTCCGATCGTCCTAAACACCTTCAACTACGACGAAGGAGAAGACTCAATGGGCGAAGAAGACGACTGAGTTATGCTTGAAAATAAATATTTTGCGTGCTTATATTTTTGAGTCACGAATCGTTCTTTTGCATGCACACTACACTAGTGCCAGTACAAATAGTTTATTTAATGAATTCGATACATTCCACTCACTGCAGATTTACAAAGGCAACACACAAATTGCTCTCTCGAATTGTAAATCATTGGAAATAGACAATTTAAACATAAGGCGGCGTGGGCACAGGGCAAAGTAACTATACACACCGGACAGTTCATGCAGACGACGCAAATCGTCGTGGACGGATCGGACCGCTTCATGGAGATGCTCGTCTTGTCGATGCGCGTGGGATACGGACGTCCTACGCTCAGCGCCGAAAAAGAATCGCTGTTTTCGAGAAAGGACTTTAGCTTGTTCGGACAGGAAAGATCAAACTTGGAAGTGGCCAATGCTGTTATAAAGTCTAGGCTGTATTTGTTTGAGACAAACTCAATGTCCTTGGTATATTCTAGCAACCAAAATAAATCGCTATTTCTATACACGTCGGACACCTCCTTGATGTAGGTTACGCTCGCGCACAATCGAAGATGGGGGCAGCGAGGGTTGTACTTGGCGTGTTCCTCGACTGGGTCGTCGTAGTCGGCTTCCCACGAAAGCAACCGAAGTCCGCAACAAAAGCATTCCACGGTCCGATCGGTCAGGTAATAAAATCCCGCAGATGCCATGTAATCCACGTCAAAGACGTCTTCTTCTTTCGGCCGAACGTCGAAGGAGGCGAACCTCGCAGTGTAAGTCTGAAACTCGGGCCTAAAGGCAAGCGCTCGTTCGGTCACCACCGCCGAGACGTCTGGACTCAGCGTGCGTAGCGGTGCGTCACAGTCGGATTCGTGCAGTCCTTGGGGAAGTGTTTCGTCCGAGGCCACGATAGTAGAGAGTTGAGTCTTTTGCTGGCACATCGAGCAGCTGAGAATCCGCTTCTCTGGATCGTAGGCGAGTCCTGCCATGGCAAAGTCCTTGGGTGGGGGGGTACTGTTGCGCAAAGGCCACGTCGCAAAAGTTTTAAAGTCGGACATCACCTTGGCCACAGTCGGGTCGTGGTCGAACGAACAGTCTCCAGTAGAAAGACATGTTCTTAAGCAAAGTAGACTCTAGAAATAAAGTCGATTTTGAGTCTACAGGCCTTGCAATGTTTGAATAATATGGTGCAGTCGAAACACGACACGCAGTGTCCGCACGGCAAGTAGGCAATGTTAGCCGGAGCCTTCATGCATACGATGCACCTCTTAGTTGATTCGTCTCGTGACTTTATAGCGGAATAGTGCGTATCACTGATCGCGCTATCTATCACAAAGTTACCCCACCTACCGATAGCCTTGTGATCGAACGAAGGAAGGGCGTTCACTGGCTCAAACAGAGTGTGACTGCCCAACGGAGTCGCCTTGCTGCTCCGAATGGCACTCACCATCGCCGATACGTTCAAGGGATACGTCAGGTTGGCCGTGTACAGAGTACTCATAGTCCTGTTGCGGAACTTTGGGTCCTTGACGAGATCGTCGATCTCGGGAAAGTGAGACGCCCAGTACATCTCGCTCCTGTAAAACTTTTCGACTGCATCGTGCACGTAGTAATAGGTCTTGTTCACTCGTAGAAACACGCAATTGGGGGACCTGCGGGCGTGTAGCAGCCACGGATCGTCTTCTTCGCAGTCGAGGATCGAAAATACTTGCACCCCGCAGTAGAAACAAACGATTATGCGGGTCACTATCTGTTCGCGGGAGAGGTAGCCCTGCTCGTCGTCGTGCGAGCAGAAAAAGCCGGCCTTGGCGAACGCAGGGCCTCGAACATCGTGAAAGGTCTTGGCTCGAATCTTCTCGTCGACGTATCTCTTGTAGACCGGGTGAGAGTAGCTCGGCAAGACGGACACGACCTTTGCTACGTTCAGCCGCGGGTCCCTGCACTGCTCGAGAAACTTGCACGGCATTCGGCGGTGAAGGTCCATCGGGTGAAATGTGAGCGTCTCCCAGTCCTGTTCGGCGACTTGAAATTTGCAGTGCCGACAGTAGATGTGTTTCCGGTCAGCGCAATATTCTAGGCCGGCATAGGCAAAGTCTCGAGGCGTGGCTCTGGTGCGAAGTCGCCATTTTCGGCGAACGTCTTGAAGCGACGCACGACTTCCTTGCTTATGGGATCCGTAACGAGGTGCGCCATAGCGACGATAATGAGAGGAGCCCTCTACTCGGTGCGCAATATATATTCTCTCCATATCTAGGTTGACCTCGACTGGGAGCGGAGTCGACCTCCCATAGGCGGTAGCAATTTTGTTTATTATAAAAATGTCTGTCGCAGAAAATTTTTTAGACCTGTTGAAAAAGGGACGATGTCAACACTCGGTGAATCACGAAGACGCCACCGATATTTTATTACCCGTATTCCGGCAGCGGGGAAATCAAAACGTGTCTTACAGGAGAGATGGCGATAAATACGTGCCCACGCTCCTGAACGACACGTCGACCTTACTCGGCTACTCGTCCAAGAAACTCATGCAGCACATTACCAAGGCGCGCACGACGCTCCTGACCAACGGAGATGTGGAACCGGTTGCAGATATGCTCTTTCGCGTTTTCGAGCTCGGTAGTAACATACTGATGACGGTCGACATGGATCAGATGGCCATCCAAACGCTCCTGAATGACAATACAGTATTTCACTGCGTAATGGGAATCGAATACGTACGAAACAGTCTCAACATACTTAGGAAAACCTCTTCCTCGTCGACCACTCAGCGCGTCATCAGGGATCTGAAGCCGTACGTGGACGCGTACGCTACTGCCATTCTGCGCCTGCTACTCCTCTACATCGAAGAGATCTTTTCCCATGCGCGCGAGGCGACTCGCGGTATGGCGGTGGGCGCAAGGACGGCAGCCAAGATTACGGCGGTCATGCTAGTATCCCTGTGCAACTACGCGGCGGTGCGCGTAAAGTGCAACCCCATCTTTCAGTTTGAGAGCGCCATGGGCCACAACTGGCTCGACGTGGCCAACGGTCTCAGCCTCGTGCACAGGATCACGCAGCCACACACCGTCAACGAAAACATTGTCGGGGCCATTCGCGTAAAGTTTTCGCAAAACAACAAGCCACAGGACGTCATCAACCTCCTGGTCGAAGAGAGCAACAGGTTGTACACGAGTAACGTCGAGAACGGAGTGTACCGCTGCGACACCGACTACATGACGCTCCGGACCGTCATGCCGGCCGAGCGGGTCACGGACGACGTCAACATCATCGATCCGGCCATCTCTACGACGCTGCGTGACCACAACGAGCTCATCATGAAGAGTTCCGACACGATCCCCGTGCCGCGGACCAACCACTACGTGCTAGCCCTGCAGAAGGAGAAGGCGCCGGCCACCGAGGTGTCGGTCCTTAACATCGCCTCCATCATAGAACAGTGGATGAGCAACGGGCGCGTGGACTCTCGCTTGGTCGAAGTGCACAAACAGTCGGACCAGGGCACGCAGGAGCTCAACAAATTTTACAGCCAGGCCTGTTGCGTCTCGCCCCGTAACCTCGGTCTGTTTCTACAGTGCCTAAACTTTGAGATGATGGACTCGGACATGTTTGGGGCCACCTTACAGTGCCTCAAGATGACCAAGGGCATACCCACTCCGCGCCAGGAAGAAATTGCCACCTACTCAAACACGGCGCTATTTCGGATGGCCACCAACCTGTTTTATCACACGCGTTTCTGCAGGAGCTACCGCGGCGAAAACACCTACCTGTACGACTCGCGCTTCTTTAACGACTTTCTACTCTGGGTCCAGTCGCCCAACTATCTGGAACACCACATCTCGCCTAGCGTGTCGTCGTCCATCATCTCGTGGTGCACGTCCATGTCTACTGCCATGCACACTACGCGCGACGCCAACGGAGCGAAGTGCGCCATGGCGGCCATATCCACTTGCGAGGTGGACCAACGCGTACTAGCCGACTTTTTGAACATGTTCATCAAGCTCTTTATCGAGGACGAGACCGAGATTAGCGTCATCAACAAGAAATTTCTCGAGAAGGAACTACTCAAGGCTTTTGCCTCCGTGTCTAATTGCTACAACCTGTTTAGGGGGCAGTTTGTTTCGGCGACGGCCTTGCGCCTCTTCCTAGCCCGTTGTAGGTGGTCCGTGGCCGACGACGTGGAAGTCATCGTTCCGGTCGAAACAAAGCATCTCAACAGACTGATATGCGACAGCGACGACCTGTTGTCCAACTCGATGCGAGACAAGCTCCGTAAAACCATGGAAGACGTCTCCACGATGATGGCGCCGCTACTCTCCAATCCATCCACGTCCACGCCTCGCAGCAAGGACGACGACAGCAACGTGCCCATATGCATTTGAAATAAAAAACCGCCAACGCCCCCATATACATTAACAAAAAGGTTCGGTGACTGATTTGAACGATCGAGGGAGTAAAATGTTGAAACAGGTCACGTTCGTCGATATCTTTTCGCAACAAAAAATGAGGACCCTGCGAGACTATCTCCATTGCGAACTGGACCTTTCGGTATCGATACCCTATAAAATCTGGATCGCTATCGCAAATTTCTTTATTCAAAACAACGTCCCATCGGTCGTAGAGGGAGCAGAGTGTTGTCAGAAAGACAGCTCGTCGTACCACTATCTACTCGTCTTTTCATACAGGGACAAGGACGCCAACCGAGTGGTGGTGGACTGCATAAACTTCATCAACGTGCTGCGCGATCTCAAGGTGCACGACGTGATATGCACCAAGCACTACGTCTACCTCTACGTCCGTCACTCGTCGGCGCATCACAACGTGCATGCAATTCTACCCTTTCTCCACCACGTTCTGCAAAGCTATGTAAACGACAAGACGACCACTTTGCCACTCGATTACACTTTCGATCCCCTGGAAGAACAAGAATCCTTCTTCGACGTGATTCCAGTCACGTACCACGGCACCTACGAGGTGACCACCTCTCTACCGGCGCTCGTGGCCAAAATCAAACCCAAGGAAGACGGACAGTATGTGTCAGATCGCCTTTATTGCGAGAAGCATTGGATGTGTCTACACAATCTGGTCGTCTCGAGGCTCGTCGACTGTTTCTACTACATCACTATACAGAAATTGCAGATATTAAAAGATGTTACAAAGTCAAACATTACGTCCACCAACGACTATGGCATTTACAAAGTGTCGTATTACAAGAAGTGACTCGCTTTCGCTTGTGTTTGTCTGCTTTGCCTAAAATAAACGCTTACGCTAGCTTGCACGCTGCTATACATATGTGTCTCTATGTGTGTGCGTCTGTGTGTGTGTGTGTCCAAACAAACGTTCTTTTATTCACAACATGTCGTTGTAAATGGCGTCGAAACTAGGAAATCGGAGGTTGCTCAGTCGCCGCTTGTTCTTCTTATAGGCCCGTCTGATGAGGCTAGTGGTGAACGTGCGAGACCAGTCGCTGCTCTGTCTAAAGATGCAGAAGACGCGTCGTAGATCCATCGTCTTGATGCAGGGACACAGACAGCGGGTCTCGTACCACTTGTAGACGGCAGCAAGGGCTTCCACGTCCGACCAATTGTCGTAGTCGTCATCAAACTCCATAGCACCCATCATGTAGAGCGCCGAAAGCGCCTTGATGGCGCTGGAAACCGCAAGGTGTTCGCCGCTAGATTCGAGAACGTAAGCTCGTATGTCCACCGCAGATTCCAACGCGTCGCTGGCCTTTAGGGCCCTTATGACGCTCGCAACGTCGGCGAGACTCACGCGGCACGCCTTGTTCTGCCCCATGGTCGTGATCGGTCGCGTGACGAAAGCGTTTGTTGTCGCGTCCCTCTCTACCACGCGGTCTTCGTACACAAACTCTACGGGCTTTACGTACCACGCTAGCCGGTCCTGCTGCGTGGTGTAGAGCGTGGTGTACTGAAGCAGCTTCAGGTATTTCGTGACAATCTCCTCTACTTTCTGCCGACGCTCGTTCGCCTTAGGCCAGTCCTTGGACATTGCGGCCGCTCGCCTCCGCGTAGTGGACCCTTCCATAGGTGCCGCGGCATTGACCGCCGCCAGTAAAATGTTAAAGAAGCTAGTCTCCTTCGTTGCGGCGTTCATCATTGCGCGAAACAGGTCCACCTTCTTGCCGTCCACCTTTTTAGATGAGCTTATCATAAACGGGAGCATCTCGTAGCCGCCGTACAGCAAGATTGGCACCACAAACGACAGCGGGTGAAGATCGGAACTACTGACGCGTACAGCGCGAGTAAAGAGATCGTCCTTGATGTGGTAGTAACCCGCCTGACGACTGGAAAGAGACCTTTCCAGCAGAGACACGGCGTGTTGCACGCCGCCAAACTCGAACCTGTGTTCGTCCTGTCGCTTCTTACTCTCGCTGTACTGGCGGGCCGAATACACGTAGACGTCTCGCGAGGGTATCTTTTCCACGACCGCAGCTACCCCGAGGAGAATGTCCGAATCGTCGGTGACAACGACGGACACGTCCCAGCGCTCGTCGTTTGGCGGCGGACACATTAAAGAGTCCACGACCTTGACGTCGCCTTCCCCCACGTAGAACGGCGGCAGGATCGTAAAGGACGAGAGTTGGTACGCTGCAGCCGACTCGTTCGAGTAGCCGTCAATCACCTCTTTGGCGTAGAGTGAGTTCTCGAGAAGCGTGGCATATTCCCTGACGTGCTGCATCACGTCCGAGGCCGCGGTCAATCGGCAGATTGTGGCCATGGCGTCTTTGCCGTACCGTGCCAAGTTTTTGAGCCTTCCGTTCAGGACAGACTGCAGTCTCGAATTTTCGATGGTCCGAACTCGCTTGGTGTCCTCGCCAGACGAGTTTTTGATGACGTTGGTCAGCTCTCTACTGCGACGCTTGTACTGCTCGGGTCACTTTACCGTCGGCGACATTCCGTCAAACACCACCACCACGTCAACTTCCACACGCCCGTTTAGGGACAGCCCCTTGACGACCCTCTTGACCGTCCTAGATATGCAATGAAACACCGTCGTGAAGAAGGCGTCGTATCGGATGCAGCGTTCGCCCGGTCTCGCCTCGTACTCCTTGTCCCAGTCCAAATCTCGAAGAACAAACGCGTCGTCTTCGCTATAGTCTTCGACGTAATCGCCAACCAGATCTCCGTTGGTCTCGCGAACGTAGTGTTTGATAATCTCGAGGTTCAAGGCTTCCCACACTCGCTCTCGTTCCTCTCGGTCGGCGATCGCTCGTGCGGCATCGATCTTGTCCGCAAACGTCTTGAGATGGTGGTCCGTCAGCGAGTGGTTGCAGTGGTGTAGAAAAATGTTACCGTCGACGACGACTTGAATGCGCGCCGACTCTCCGATCACGAACGAGGACGTCACGCTCTCATAGTCGAAGTGACGCGCAGACGGCGTAGGCGAAAAATACGTCCGCAAAACGAGGTTCGTGGCCGTCTCGACGTTACTGCCGGGGTCGTCCAAGAGCTGTAACTGAGACTCGAGTAACGGTGCCAGTTCCTCCTCGACGGCGCGGTTGCAAACTGCGTTGAGTGTATTCCAAAGATTTCGGATACCCATGGTGTCAATACGTTTATTGTGTGTGTAGAAGGGCGACGCTTAAGTACTCTCATCACACAAGGTCACGCCAAATAATGGAGGTTGTGTTTTTTTTAATTGGACGAGAAAGTGATACAGTATGCGTAATCCCTCTACCTGGGTGAAGGGCATCGGGTGACCTCCACTCGAGTGGGTAAAGTAACGCCCGCTCCCCTTGTTTAGATAGAGGAAGGGCTCTTGTAAAATGAACTTGAGGGGACAGAAGCGCTTGTTTGTTTCGGGATCGAGATGAGTGGAGAGCACAATCGAGTTGTCAAAGCCGGGTAGCTCGAGGGTGCTGCCTGTGGGTACGTGCGTGTATGCCGTTTTGCTCGGCACAAAGCTGACGAT